GTATGATTGGAAAAATAAATTGTGATAACTGTCCTTTAATGTAATATCCATTTCTGGGATGTAGAAATCAGCTTGATATAATATATCATGTGGCCGGAAATTAATAAGTTATGGATCATTCATGCATAAGGATCGGTACAAGCCTATTACATGAAGAAAATCACAAAATTACACCCACAAGAGTCTGACATCTCTTTACTTCAGCCACAGACAGAGACAATACAGGTAGGAACGCAATTGTGGTAGAATTTTACTATACTTGTGCCTCAATCAGCTGTAATGCACATCCCTTATTAAATTACATAATGATAATATGCAGTGAGAATTACTGTTAAGAGAAATACAGAAATCTACAAATCATGAAAATTAGATAATATTAAAGGGCAAGTCCACTTCAAAAATAACTTACTTTCAATAGAAGCAGAAAACTCAGACAAACCAATCAGAAATAGTTTGAGCAAAATCGGATAACTAATAAGAAAGTTATGAATTTGTAATGATATGAAAAACTTGAAAATCACCAGACAAATTGGCAACTCACTCATGAGTCTGTGACGTCATATCCTCACTATCCACTAATTATTTTCTTTATATTGATGATATAAATTTCCTATTTTCTCCTTAAGAATCTTATTTCGTCACACCAGCATCCAAGTTAGATTGATAGTAATATGTTTTTGTGCGGATTCCCTAATATAGACCAATTTTTTCCAGTTAAATCATACAAAATGTGAATTTTTGATAAACTATTTATATAAAAATCAATAATTATGAATATAAAATATTCAGAAAATAGTATGAATTATCAAGTTCATAAAAGATTTTGTGAAATGTCATGCACGCAATATGATACAAATCATATAACCTGGGAAAAAGCATGGGGGAACTCAAGTTTTGAGGGATATAAAGGAAAATTAATGGGATTAAACTATATAAAACAATTGATAAATGGTGAGGACATGACGTCACAAATTGATAACCAAATTGGCAATTTGTGTAGTGATTTCCATTTTTTTACATACTTTTTCAAAAATTCATAATTAATTACTAGTTATCCGATTTTGCTCAAACTTGTTTTGATTGGTATGTCTGTCTGAATTTTGGAGTGGACTTGTACTTTAACATCTGAATTCTATACTTTGTAGCGTATTTTATTCATGTACAACTCATACCCAGACATGGATATCATATTGTTCTATAGACAATATACGGTAGGCAAACATATGCCTGATTTATGATGGTCAGCAACAAATTTGCCGCATTATTACATTTAAGATGAAGATGAGTTCTGTTCATGCAATAAGATTCTGGAAGGAAATTTTGATTGTATAGTACATAGAAATTAGTGGATACTGTGAAGTTGCGAATTATCAGCTTTTTATTTACTGGATCCAACTTGATGAAAAGTACATGCACTGCACAAAGAAATGGGTAAATGGAATGACTGTTTGGTCCAAACAAGTCAGCATTTTCTTGTCATACTTTTAAAATGAGGAAATCTGAAGAGCAACTAATCCTTTGCAGGAGACATTTCTTTAATATGACTTTCTTCCAACTAATATACAAGAAGAAGTTTCACAAATTAATTTGTCACCTTTACCAGAACTCAACCTGATTCTCTTTAAACGAAATACCTTGATCTTGTGGAGAAGCTTTCCTTTTCCTGTCTTCCAATCGAAATAAGAGATTGACTTCTAGTTTCTTATTTTGTCCTACTTTCAGTGACACTGCAACACTATCTGACTGTTTGGGGAAGTCCAATTCAAAGGGCTCACAGATCCTGGTCCCGCTCATAAGTTTATCAAAGGAGACAACCTTTAACACAAAATTTGAATAGAGTTGATCAAAAGAGTAGGTAAACAAACTACCTTTTATTTTTCCTATATCAATCATTTGCTCTATAAGTGTGTATCAGCCATTATTATCCTTAATTTAGCTCCAGCAACCATTATTAGCAACTCTAGCATTTGGAAGAGTAAGTAATTCCTGCCATTCCAAATTCAGAATCAGATTATGATTAAGTTACATAATCTTATTACATATCCATAAATTTCAACTATGCTGCAAGATTGATAACCCGGACTGAGAAAATAATACTCCCAAATAACCCATCTTAAAGCAGTTATACAGTTCCTTTTTCAATCAAGCTTAATTTCAAATACTGTTTATGACCTATTGTTATGTAGTACTTGTATCACACCCCACCCCCCACCCCTTCAGTCATTCACCTTTCATTCGCCTATCTCCCACCTCCATGATGAAACAGAAACCTTATCCCATTACTTTTTTTATTTTATTATAAACATCTGACCATTATAGACCACCCCAGAGATAACTTCAAGGATCGAACCACATTCTTAGAACTATGACCAAACCCCAGTCACTTCCACCTCTCCATTGACACTCCCCATAATAACATAGCAACCCTCACCATTAACCAAAGCATTTCTATTACTTATTCCCAAATGTTAACGCCCCTAGAACTTCATGATAAAAATGAGGCTTCTTAACTAGAGAAGGAGATTAGATAGACAACATTACAGAGACCAGAGAGAGAAATTATTTGTATCTCGAATTCTAGACATAGTAATTGTGATAATTGTATCAAGTATCTGCGATGAATAAAGGCTTCTTAAATTGTAACAAGAACTAGCACAGTGTCTTCATTTATGCTCCTCGCCTCCGAGAAACCGATCCCAACACGACACTATCACTATTTTCAAAAATTGTGCACCCTCGAGCAATCTGAAATCAGCTCAAAATAAAACTCTTGCGATGTCTTCTTGTTCCGCCCAAGTTGTTAAGGGAGTGCCGGGTCATTTATTTATGCTACCCCTCCGCTTGTTCCGATCGGAACACCATCCTATCTCATATGAAAGAAGCATCCACAGATAATGAGTTTAAAACCCCTCGAAATGAACTTGTTTGAAAATCATTTTGACTGAGCTACAGAAGAGCAATTACAGCACCATTTTTAAAAATATCTTTCTTCCTAAGCGAATACAGATGCTATGGCAGTGATTTACCCCATATAAACACTGCATTATTATGACTAGTAGTATTATTGATAGTTGTAGTGTTATTGTCATCATTGATGTCATTGTTATTATCAATATCTTCAATACTATTGTTATTTATATCTTCATTGTTATTATTATTATAATTATTATGTATAATCTCTGGATGGACATACACGGAGATGCATTTATAACTATTACATTAAGACAAGATAATATCCAGATTGTGTCTTGCCCACCTGTGGCCAAATTACATGAAAATCCCCGGAGATTATCCCTGACCAACATTTGGTTGCAGTATGAACAATGTAACTATGCAAAGTTACAAGTCATAAGAGATTCTTGTCGGTAATAACTTTGACTTTATCTAAAATGATTGTTGACATTAGGACATGACCTCCAACATCAATACATCATTGGAGGGACAGAGGCAAAACAACTTGTCACAAGAGGATGTTGAAGGTACATGTAACTTTAACACATGACCCCAAATGACCTTTGACTTAGCATGTGACTCTCAACAACACCATAACACGAAGTTCCCTCAAGTGCATCTCTGACCCAAGTTTTGTCAGAATAGGATTAATGGTTGCTAAATTTTTTATACCAATTAGAAAATCTTGCAGGTAAACTTAAGTATTTGTGACAGATGATGGACAACAGACGGACGGACAATAAATGATAATCGTTTAGTGTATGAAAAGAGTTGCACTAATTTCTTTTAAAGTCCAGATCACAGAAAAGCTGGAAAATCCCTACGAAAAACATAGTAATTATCTACAACTTCCTCTTTTGTAGAGAAAGAGTTAGCTTTGGTTTAAACAGAGTTCAAGAATAATCTCAAGTTAAACATCCTTTCAGATGTTTCAATCTTCAACACAATGTTAAACTATAAGGCATGTTTACCAGTATGCCTTGTTACAAGTGGAGCAATACACAAGATCATCCGACCATGCATGAATTTAATGTTCATATTCAATATCAGAGTTAAACAGAATCTTTAAATACATATTTGAACTTACAGTAGGTCCTCCAATTACTGTCTTCTTTACGTAGCAGGTCATTTCGAGATCGACTGATGATGTCTGAATAAGGACCTGTTGTTCTATATGGGCAGGTATGAATTCTTGTTCACCTTCTTGGCCTTTTACCAACTGTTACCAAAGAAAAGAAAGCAGATTTATACAGGGCTGCATGCATATACAAGGCAAGAGAATATATATATATACATGCATATACTGTATTTATATCAGGGAACGTAATAAAACTATAAACTATATAATACATTTCTTTAATCATACAACATACTTGTAAATAATAATAATTTCAAGCTGAAAGCTGAAGAACAAGCTTTTATATCTGCTGTCTAAAAGCAAGAAACTTGCAACATAAATAGTGAACAATATTAGATATGAATGCACTTATACAAATTACTTTATTTGGTAATTTTCTCAAGGAGTTTGCAGTTCTAAACTGAAAGGAGTAGTCCACCCTGATATGAAGTTGGTTTTAATAGCAGCAGAAAATGAGAGAAACAGGTCAAAGAAAGTTTGAGCAAATTCCAATACAAAATAATAAAGTTATGAATTTTTGTAGTTGTGATCAATCAAACGCGAATTTGCAACTATGTGACGTAACTTGCAAATTCCCCTCCCATTTGCTCTGTACCTAAATTCCATCAAGTTTCGTTTTCTTCGTTATTGATGATGGAATATATTTCCTATACAGGGGTCGTATAGAAACACACCGGTACATGCATTTGCAATAATGATTGAAAACACTACGTTTAAATCCTTGGTTTTTGTTAAAGCAAGCCAATTTCTTACAAAGGTATTAGTAGGAAGGATTGAGAATGTTTTATGTTGATTAATTAATGCTCACTCAAACACTTATGGCATTTTTTCTAAATTATGTAAAACAGATGCTGATCTTTGCCACGAGTTTTCAGTTCAGTACATTGTGTCAGATTCCTCAATGTACAAATCAACTGCCGCAACAATAATTTACCTCGCTATTCCCTTTGATGTCGTCATAGAGGTGTGCATGTAAGATGACAGGTGTCTTCTGCAGGGCTAAGTTCTTTTCTTTAAATGGCCGACAGCACATCTTCTTTCCTCGGAAGAAATAATTCTTGATCATCAACTTAATCTTCGCCCATGAAAAGTGGTTCATCTTCAGTTTGAGTACATCTTTTGTTATGATGCAGCTAGGTGTTCCAGACCTCGACAACATAATTCGTTCTTTAACAACTGCATCTATAATCAACAATTTGGCGATAAAAATCAGGAAAACTGTGGACACATTAAATTGAGGGATAAACATAGTTCTTAAAGTAATTAAATAACAAGCAAAGGCAAAGACCTCTGCATAGAGTCATCGTGGGTTCATTCATATTAGCAAAGTTAACCTTAGACATTTTTTAGGCCAACATTTCGGCACCTGACCCTTCAGACCAATCTCCTAAGAAATAGGTCATCTTTATAAGCACAGAAGTCGGTCAGGGACAGTATTCTTAAAACTAATGTTTAATCCCAGAATTTACATACCATACCTCCGAATTGGTAATCTGAAAACTATGTTAAGGGTATATTATCTTAACACTGACATTTCCATTTAAATACATTCTCTAATGATAATGTCTCTTAAAAAGTACTCAGCATATTGTGTTTCATGTTAAATTGTGCCTTTACAGCTACGGGAACTATAGCGCATATTTATCAAGCATCGTCAATTGATACGCCATACCTTTCTCCTGGTCATTGTCACGAAGGTACTCATGAACAGCTACTTTATTCCTTCCTTTTCTACGTTTCCTATGTTTGTTTGTGTTAAAAATGTGTAGATTTGCAGAGTCATATTGCAGTTTTCAAAGAAACTACAAAGGAAAAAGGCAAACAAGAAAATACCCCTAGACCAACGTTATTTTCTACATTTAATTATGTATTATGTTTTTTGCTAAAAGAGTTTTCAGAATGCCAGAACTATAAAAAGCCTCGGTCACAAATGCAATTACGAGCTGCTACGAACGCCGTACAAACGATTTTCAGACAATAGAAACTTAATTGGGAAGACAACGGAAAAACAGGGAGATTCGCATCGTTCGTACGAACCTTTATGCTCGTAGCTTAACCTCTCACATTTAGTCAACAGCCACGTATGACGTTTGCATAAGTTTAAGAGTATGCGCACTGCATCTTCCCGCCAATATATATGTAAACACTGTATTGGACTTAAAATCATTTTCAGAATACCGATTATAATAGCTAACATACTATTCACGCTAACATAGTATCAGAATACAACCCAAGTTCAAAGACAAAATTATTCCCAAATTGTCACTACATACATTCAATGCAGGTTACATTTACGTAGTTTATCAGTAGAATAGAGTGGGTCCATACATCGAGGGGCATATGCTACCAAGGGAGGGGGCGCCTGTCATATTGGTTGATGAAGTGCAAATTGAAATGGCTATTGATGAGGGGAAAGTACATCGGGCTGGAAAAACAGCATTTTCTTGTCAAGCTTCATTCCCCCTTTAATTTTTTAACGATATATTCTTGTTCGCCAAGAAGAAAGAAACCGACGATGATGGTGACAAGAAGAGGAAGGGAAGCAGCACTCTCGGTTTAAAAAGGTGCTCTGAAATTTCAGCTGCCATGCACAATGGCAAGTGCTTTGTTCTGGAGTGATTGTTGATACACACATAATTTTGTGGACTTGTTTTAATAACAAAAAGTGAAATCTAATGGAATTATTGTGAGCAACTTTTTAAAACCAATGTACAGAAAAATTTCATAACTATCTCCAGTTAGAATAACACAATGTGAAGACCTCAATGAATTTTTGACTCACTCACGATCAAAAGTGTAAAACGTTCTTATAATACACGTAGTACTTTTATTGGAAAATGGGAGTTACATTTGTTTATTTACTTATCACAAAGTGTTTCATTTAATTACAAAAAGGTTTTGACAGACATTTATCAAATGTCATTGCTACATGATGTCTATACATGTTGAGATGTACTTACCGGGTGAGTATTCTCCCTCTCCCGTGTACAAGACTGCCTTCACACTTGAGTATCGTGTAATCACAGCACAGTGAGGTATTGTGTAAGTCACCTGTCTCTTCAGGACTAAGTCATCAGGGGCTAAACACTGTACACCAAAACAGACTGACATCTCTTCTTTGCTGTTGCCAAGATTAGGAGTATCTGTCAGGACACTCAGAGAAAAGTCCTGCGGCGCTTCGCTGTCAATTGCACCAGGAGGGATCTCAAGTTCAATTCCGAAGGAATCTAGCTGAAGTCTGCCACCTTCAACTCCAACTCTCTTACAACATTCCATCTTGATTGGTTTGACATTAACTTCATCTGGTAATAAAAATCACAGGAGATATTTCTGCAAACTCTCTGCGAACAACAAAATGCATAACTGTCCTTCAAGATTCTAGCAAAAGATTAAATATAGGTTATTCAGCGCCGAAGAGCAACATCACTGTGAAAGATCCTTCTCAGGAATAAGTGGAAGGGAAGAATGTTCTTACAATTTTTGAAGTTTTCGTCTTTTAAAGGGAATTTCAATTCCTTCTTAACTGTTGCTTTTATTGATAAGACTGTCCGTTGTGAAAAGATATTTGAATGTACATATTCAATCTTTGGTTTATAGCAATAACAGTACAAGACTTGCTACATCCATGAACCACGCACGATAGGTCTATTTCTACTAAGACACATCTCTGTTGGATACTGATTACGCCATCCACCATCCACAGTTTTTATACATGTATACATGAGCTTGAACTACCCTCGCTCTCATGTCCATTTGGTCTAATCTCAAATAAGTCTACAGCCCATTTGGTCTATTGCTCATTTAGTCTAATTTTGCATACATACTGAGCCATGTGACCTTTGACCTCGTGACCCCAAAATCTAAATCAGTTCATTGGCTCTGCAAGATACATACATGTACATGCCCCAAGTTTGGCAGGAATCCATCAATCGGTTCTTGAGATAACGCGATCACGGGACGTACATACGTACGTATGGACGGACGAACAACCAGACAGCATAATGCCTCCGGCTACTTTGTAGCGGAGGTATACAAATGTTGTAAACCGCTGCAGTATACCCTGGTATATATGAATAAGCCTTTATTTATTTTCATTCTTTGAGTACAAACACATATATAATCTATTGAAACTCACCTATTGAAGAAGTAAGGGAGAGAGGGGAGGATGGGAAGGTCTTCCTCTCTGGCTTAAAAGGCATCCTCGTACCCTGCTCAGAGTCTTCATGTGATGCCTGACTTTGAAGTTCAACTGTGACCTTTACATTAGGATACATCTCTGAAAGTTTAAGGATGTCAGTTTGAGACAACGGGCATTCCACATTAAAGAACTTGAGTTCTCGAAGTGAACTCTGTTCCCCTGTGCTCGGTGGTGAATGACTGATACTCTGAGGAAATTCAACCTTGCACTTGTCAAATGTCAGGACAGTAACTCCTTTGAGTTCAGTGGACACAAGATGCATTAGGTCAGCCATGGGTACAGCTGCTGATGCACCTTCAAGTTGTACCTCACAATCTGAAGATGTTTGGGACCACTTAACACAGGTAAGTTCTGCACCTCCTAGCTGCACCTTTGTTGCCTCAACAATCTGCAAATGTGGACTTGTCACATGAACTACATGTAGTACATTCAGTAATGTTTCAAATCGGCAGCAATCATCCATCTCAAATGGTTCAATATGGATATTGGTCAGATGTGGCAATATGAATGATGTAATGTCTCCGCCTGACTTGTTCGATATTAATCCTCCAATGCCTGATAACACCAGTGATACGATGTTTGGACATGAGGTAGAGATATCCATAAACAGGCTGTCTGTAGTTTCATCATTAAAGAAATACCGGTAGGCCATATATCCTAATGTAAGCTCCCTTAAGGATGATGATGAGTTGACTTCAGGAGGAAAGTATGCTTGATTGGATTGAAGAAAGGGATGCATCACTTGCATATCTAGACTCTCTGCATTTGGAAATAAATTACTGACAGCCAATAGTGCCTCATGGAGTGTTTCACTATAGGACAGGGACTTAATGCAAACTGTGATGACAGACCTCATACATGTAGGAATAGGTTCGCGCGTAAATTTATATAGAATTAGAGGCATGTGGAGATCGATGGAGAAATGCTCCACTGCGGGACACAACTGAGCTACTATTGAGAGCAGATCTTCAAAGAAACGGGCTTCCCTTAGTTGAAGATGAGTCTCATCACAGGTGCTCTTCCACTTGTCTACATGTTGCTCCAGTCCAGCATCACCCCTCAAAACAGTGTCCTGCCCAGATTTCTCGCCTGAATTAAAAAAAGACAATTTAACAACCCATTTTGGTGGCCTCCCAATTCACAGAAAAGTAGATAGCATTATATAATAACTGAAACAAATATTTCGGTGAGGTATTAATATAGAAATTAAAACAACAATCATACAATATATCTAGTATATCCTTCTAGTTGATAAACAAAAAATGTTTACAAAAACGGTAACTTTCATTTTTAAAGATAATTTGGAAATACTATTTCAACAAGCACAACAAACTCAATATAAAATCTGTGTGTGTGTAGGGGGGATCCCGATCTCAACTATGGCTCCATGAAGCAAATGTGGTAAATAAAAGACTTAATAAAATCTATACGGATATCACACTCAATTACTGAATGTTGTAGATTGACATTACATGTACTATGTATGTACATGTAGATACCACATAGAGAATAATAGGAATTAAGTTACTTTTTTTTTACTTGACGGCATCGATAGCTTTAGTCACGTAATGCAGTCTAATAACTACAGTATAAGACGGCTCTATAATCTAAGCCATCCAATGGGCGTGCATTTATATTTTCAACCGTGCAAAAACATCTCCCATCACAAATTGATAATACATGCTCGATATATTTCGATATCGCTTTCGCGTTTTTCAGCCAAATATAATCTGTGCATAATTTTAATATGTATTAATATCGTTAGAATATTCTAGGCCTAGATTTAAAAATATCTAACTTAGATCTAGATGTAATATCTATATATACTCTAGATCTACACTATATTGTAAGAATGTATTGCCGACCCGTCTTAAACATAAACAAAAAGCACTGTTTCGTTAGGGTAGTTCGAGTGCACTCGGGTAATTAGTCAGTGCGATATTGCTAATGCTTTTGACTTGCGGGCGCGTGCATTATCACTTTGGGCAATGACTAAACTTCGTGCAATGTCCATGCCCTAACACACTCGCAACAGTGCATTAGTTGTATACTATCACAACAATTATAATAATAATAATACTAATGATAGTAATAACAATGATAACAATAATGATAATAATAATAATGGTAATAATACAATAATAATACCACTTCTAATAATAATGATAATAATAATAAAAACGACAATAAAAATATTAATGATACTAGTTATACAAATCCTCATCATAATAGTAGCTATAACTATAACTATATATATATATATATATATATATATACGTGTATCCATTCCAGGGAATGCTCAATGTGCCTTGCAAGTACTATTAGTGCCCTCTCTTTAATTCGCGCTGCCCTAAGGTACTGGACCAAAAATTATATTCCTGTAGGGTTTCCATTTATCACAAGTGGAGAGTGGCAAATTGTAAATTAACGTCTTTACAAAGGACATTACTGCTTCGACAGGACTTGATCCCTAAACCATGAGAACCATATCTAATACACCCCAACACCTCTACTATGATGATCACGCAAACTTGTACAGGTGTACATGCATGTCTTCATATTGGATAAATGATACTGTTACACAAATGCTGGCATAATTTTATTCCAAATGTCCAAGCTACTACCTACGTTTACCCTTTGAGTACACGTTCATCCCCAAAGTAGCCACCTTTAATTGAACCAATTTAACATTTAATTCACATATAATCCTTTTTGTAATGATAGTGGGGTGATAGTGGGTGAGTTCTTTATAAAATGCTTGAAAAAACACATTAGATAGTTTCAGTCTCAATAGATTATTTTTGCATGTCCTAAGTAGAAATTTCTGTCACTTGTTAGGTGGTCTGTTATCAACAGACCACCTATTGTTTTCGTCAGAATTTTCTTTCTTTATTATTATTTATTATTATTTATTTTTATTTTCCGCACTTTTTTGTGTAGAGGATAACTCAAGATCGGTTTAATCAATTTCGTTCAATTTTGACACAGTCATAGGTCATTGTCATGAGACGTGACAGTAACATTTTCAAGGTCATCAAATCTTCATGACGTCATCCAGGCGCCATTTTGTGTTTTTTTTTGGTACTTTTTACTCATGATCATATCTTCATAACGGATAGGCATTTCTCATTCATATTTATCATGATTAAGGTCAATATTCGTCCAGTTAATTTCAGGTCAAAAAACGCGCGCGCATATGTACGTCCGCGCGTTAGCGCGCGCGCAAAAAATAAAAATGCTCAAAATCGTCTCAAATTCATTTTGCATACGTTTCAGGCCATTTTAAGCATTTTGCAAAAAAAACGCGCACACGCGCATGGGCGCGCGTTTTCGCGTTTCCTGGCATTTAGCAACATAAAATCGCCAAATTTTCTCCGTCATCATATTTGAATCATTTTGCCAAGCATTTTGATACATTGTTCACCCGTTTCTGCCCATTAATAACGGAATGAGCGTCCGTTTAAGATAATGTCCGTGCGTGCGAGCTATTGTAATACATAGCATATATGGGCAAAAACATGCCATTTTAAAAATCGAAATAGCTCTTCAGATAGTCTGTCGACCCCCAATTTTTATATCATGGTTTGAGAAAACATGAGTTGGAGATATGATTTCATACCACCCTGACTCGTTCAAAGTGAAACAAAGTCATCATATTGGCATCTAAACTCAAACAAATGTATTTTGTTGATGACGTCATTTTTGTCTTTGTTTAATTGAGATTATCTCACTTATCGGGGATCGATTTTCTTCCATATTTTGATATGTTGTAGCTGAGATAATTCTCTATCACAAATAAGTCATTTATTTTGTATTTAAATGACGTCATCATACTTAAATATTCGATTAAAGGCGACAATGCATAATTTGTCATATTTGCGTGTTATGTCTATGGGAGGTCACTTTTGTCAAAACATGAATCTGCATGACAAGGTGTTTCGACCAGTATCTCGGTTGTTATTCAACAGTTTTCTCCCAAATTTTAGTATGTTGTAGCTGAGACTATTTGCTATCTAAATATTTCCTCATTTTTTTTAATTAGTTGTCAGGATCATGCTTATGCTCATCTTCATCATTAACATTATCGTTTTTATCGTCATATAACATTATCATTATCA